AACTGTCAAGCCTGCTGCAGTCCAAAGAGCATCTAAGCAACTGTGGGAGGAGATTTTATTCTTTTTCCTAGCTTTTTAAAGCAAGGTCTCAACTGTGAAGGCCAGGCTGCCCTTCAACTCACAGTTCTTTCTGCCTGAGCCTCCTAAGTACTGCTCTTACAGGCATGTACCACTAGTGGTGTGGTTCAAATCTTGGTAGAAATCTTGACTTTATTATAGATACATACATACATACACACACACACGCACAGGCACTAAACTTCTATGGGAGTTTCCTTACCACTAAGATGGGTCTTTATGGTTCAAAAGTTTTAGGTAACTCCAAAAACCCTTTGATATAAAAACAGAGAAAATTCAAATACATGGATGTATAAAGGTTAGCATATCATTTCATTAGAGACATAACTGAGGAAAAGGCAGGCCATTATGTACATGTGCACAGGACCACATGCTAGTTCTGCTTTCTAAAGTAATAATAATAACACCAAGGACCCAAGTTTCAGAAGACCAACTATCACAAAAGAGGCAAGACAGAAACTTTCTTTTCATTTTCTGTTACAGTTTTCCAAGTAATCAGACCTCCCACGTGGTGTACATACATTCATTCAGGCAAACACTAGTACACACAATCAAAAATACACCTTAAAAACAAAAAACAAAAAATTCACAAAATCTGATCACAATATATACTGTATTTATACAACCCTTCTGAGGTAGTCAGGGAAATGCTATAGCAAATTAAGTCCATACCTAGTCTTTAGTATTTATATACAGTTCATTCAGCTTTTTTCTGGGTTTTCCTAAAATAATGCTTTTAAAAAAATTTCACTGGGCGGTGGTGGTGCATGCCTTTAATCCCAGCACTCGGGAGGCAGAGGCAGGCGGATGTCTGTAAATTCAAGGCCAGCCTGGTACAAAGGTACACAGAGAAACCCTGTCTCAAAAAACAAACAAACAAACAAACCAAAAATTCTGGAAAGGAATTTCTTCCTGTATGTTCTATTCTGTAAATTACTTCCAAAAAGTTGGTGAGAATATAAAGCAAAAAAACAAATCAACCAATCCACTGTGGAGAGAGCAAGTATCAGGTAAGCAGCTCACAGTCCTGCAAATTTGACCCAAGAACACACCCTTCTCAGTTCTGCACCTTACTCTACTTCTCTCTGCCATTCTCCAGAAAGACACAGAAGCCTAAGTTTGGAAGCTGGACCCTGACCCCGTATCATGTTAACTACACAAGAATCACTGTCAGGCTGTCTGGACCTGGGCTAGTAAAGCAGTCGCTGGTCCAGTTGCTCTCTAACTCTCCTCTGCTGATAAAATAAGCAAATGTACAAAATCTATTCTTAGGAAACTTTTAATGCTACTAGGCATAACTTTAACATTTTAGAAAAGGGACCTGAGAAAATGTGACTCAATGTCAGAGCACCTGCCTAGGATATCTGGGGTCCTGGGTTCAATCATATTTATTCAATGATCTTTTTTTTTTTTTTTTTTTTTTTTTTTTTTGGTTTTTCGAGACAGGGTTTCTCTGTGGCTTTGGAGGCTGTCCTGGAACTCGCTCTGTAGACCAGTCTGGCCTCGAACTCACAGAGATCCGCCTGCCTCTGCCTCCCGAGTGCTGGGATTAAAGGCGTGCGCCACCAACGCCCGGCCGTTATTCAATGATCTTATAAAGAGATGGTGCTCAACAAAGTAACTTGACAGCCTTGGGGATGCTAGTATAGGGGGAGGTAACCACTGGTGGATGTGCAGAAATCACAGCTCCTGTACACTACTAATGGAAAGACAGCTTCTACAGAAAAACTGCATAGCAAGCCTCAAAAATTTCACATTTGAGCCAGCAATTCTCTTTCTGGGCATGTGCCCAAAAGAAAGGAAAGTGGAGTCTCTCAACAGATACCTGCACACTCATGCTTGTATTATTCACAACAGCTAAACGAATGAATGAATGAATGAATGAATGACAATACATTATATATATAATATATATATACATATAAATACTGAAATATTGCTCACAGTTAAAAGAGTAAAATACTGAGACACGCTACAATGTGGATACATCTTAAAACATCATGCTAATTGAACTAAACCAGTCACAAAAGGGCAAATATTACATGACTCAAAATAGTGACCCTCATAGAGGCATAAAAGGAAATGGAGGTTGCTGGGGGCTGACGGGAAAACAGGGCACAGAAACCATGAAAAGATGGTAGGTGGATGGTTGTGATAGACACACAACAATGGGAACATACTTGCCGTCACTGACCTAAACCTCAAAAATGGTTAATGAGCTGTGCCTGGTGGTGTACATTTTTAATCCCAAGAGTGGTTAATGGACCATCTTATGTCTATTTTAGTAGCATGCTCAAAAGATAAAACATGTGTCCAAATTCTTCCCATACATGCCTGTTTACACGTTTTCCATGAATGCTCAGTTAATTTAAGTGACTATATGAGTCTTACTGAATAAATGTAGTGATTCAGCTATTGAATTCCTTCTAAACCTAAAGCATTTAATCTGGGCTTGCTGGAAATAAAGTTCTTCCCCTGATACAGATGTCAACAGCCATCCCACGTCTACTTCAGATTAAATGAGTTATAAATCCAGTATGTCTCCTGACCTATCTATTTATTCCCTAGAATCTTCCTTCGTGCTTTTCCTATAACTTCACATAATCTATTCTCATAGCAAAATCCTAAATCAAAAATATTCTACAGGGCATGGAGTTGAATACTCTGGAGGCAGAGACAGACAACCTCTCTGAGTTTCAGGTTAGTTTCACAGTCAGACCCTGTCTCAAAGAAATAAGATAAAATAAAAAGTGTTCTCTCCCTCAAAACTTCCCAGAGCACATCTTCACACTTGGTAGACAGATTATCCTTTCCCCTTTCTTTCTTCAGAGCTGTAGCTCAACCCGAAAGTCTCAGGAATGCTAGGCAAGTGTCCTACCACTACCACCCTCCCTAGCCCCAGACATCATCTTTCCAGGACTCAGCGCTCCCATCAAAACCGCACTCCCATCTTATACTACTGTACAAGATAGGCCTAGTACACACACCTCTAACCCCAGCTTGTGGGGAGTAGAGGCAGAAGGCTCAGCAGCTCAAAGCCAGTGTCAAGACTCAAGGCCACAGAGTTCAAGGCCAGGCTTGGCTACATAAAACCTTGTCTCCAAGAACTGAAAATCCTTGCTCTTAATATACCACAAAGATGAAAATATCATGGAACTATGATTGCTAAATATTTGTATTTGCATTATATGAAAATGCAAATGCATATTATTAGTTAGAAGTTCTACTTTCTTGATCTTTAAAATTCAGTATCTTCAAACACCACTTCTTTTGATGGTAAATTGGTAGAACTATTTCTTTTACTGGGATCTACTTTCCAAGACAGTGCAATTAATAGATGTCAACAAGCAAATCAAGAATTGAAAAACATAAATAGGGCCAGTGAGACAGTTCAGCAGATAAAGGTGCTCCCTGTCAAATGGGATCACTTGAGTTCAATCCCTGAAACCCACATGGGAGCAAGAGAGAACCAACTCCCACAAACTGTTCTCTGACCTCCACATGTGCATAATGTACAAGTGCACGCGCACACACACAGACACACACACACACACACAATGTTAGGAGGGAAAAAGTCAGACATTTCTACCATTTAGTTTTCCAGCTTATCAGCTGGAGAAATTCACTTACAGGATAAGTCTATTTAGATGAGCCCTTTAAAAGTAAAGCAGGTAGACTTGGTCACATACCAGGAAATTCTGGGTCTCAAACCTCTCAACTCTCCAGATACTATGCAGACACTTATCAATGGGTCTTACCTTTCAGCAGCGGCAGAGGTGTGAGCTCAATGGGCTTGCCTTGAGATCTAAACTGTGAGGAGCTCTGCGACCTCTTCTGTCTGGCTTTTCTGACGGACTTCCGAGAAAATCCGTCTACTTTATCCACTGATGGAGGAGTAGTTGGTGCTGAGGACATATCCCTACTGAAGAGAAAAATGTGACATGAACATGGTCCCAAGGTTGTCCACATTCTAAAATTTCTACATACAATATTCATGAAAAAGTTTTGGTAATATGTACCCAAAAAAAACATCAATTAAGAAAAGTCTTCTCCGAAAAACCAAAAAAAAAAAGTCTTCTCAAGGGAAAAAAATATAAAAAGTAACAAGGCTACCATTAAACAAAATGAGAGCTCTAATGTATCATTGCTCCATTACAATCATTAAAAAGATTGTTTGCCTGGACTTCAAGTGTCTATATTGTCTGCCCATTTTAATTGCACAGCTATTCCCATCTTGGGATTCCTGAAGTGATTTTGGAGCTATTCTTAAGAGCTGGAAAATGTCCATAGAAACATTTTCCCGACATATTTAATATTATGAATGGGCTAAAACCCTTTCTGCTCTTCAAGAATCTACATAAATGAAGCCAGGTGTGGTACTCAGTCATCCCAACTCAAAGAGGTTAAGGCAGGAAAGGTAATGAGTTCAAGGCCAGACTAGGCTACACATAGCAAGTGTGAGGCCATCCTGGGACACAGTGAGAGGAAATTCTGTCCCAAAAAAACAAGCAAACAAAACAAAACAAACTACTTCACCATCTGTATCTGACAACTAGGTGAAATGCACATTACTGACACTTTCTAAGCAGGACTTTCAGTGCCGTGTGCTGCAATTGCTACTACGAGCTACCACACCACAAATGAGGACAGGCTAGATTACTTGAAAGAGAACACACAAGAGGCATAATTAAAATTATTTCAAAAAAGTCTTCTTAAGTGAAGCCATCTTAAATTATTTAAGCTTAATAAATAAAACTGTAATAAAACCTAGCACCAAGCTGAACTGAAAACAAAACTTCATAGCCTTCAAAGATGAAGTCAAGTTTAGGTTCAAATGTTGTTGTGTTCCATCAAAGCGATGGAACTGACAGAACAGCTTTCTACAATTTTTTTTAATCTTCTAAAATTATTCAAAAGGATAGATGCTAAAAGTCCCAAGCATTAAGCTCAGCCTCATTCACCAAACAGATGTCATCATCCAGGTGGCACTGAAGCGTCATGCAAGATTAATGGCAGACTGGATAGACAGAATGCATACAACGAAGTGCTAAAACACAATTACTCAGCTGTCACACCGACACCTAAGACAAGTGCTTTTGTAACTTCCACGAAGAGTAAAACAGTTGCCTCCCCAATTTGTAAGGCTAAACAATCATCTGAATTACCTGGATCCAATAAAAATAACAAACATGAGGCAGAGGAGTGAACAACGTTGAGGTTTAGTTTGGAAATTTTGAAGACTTCTTGGTTCTTTCATTAGAAAGTTATTTTGTTTTGTTAACTGTCTAATTTGGTTATAAATATAATGTGACAGATAAAACCAGAATTGTAAATTATAAATGCTGTCGAAAATGTCAGATTACTTCAAAATATAATGATCCCATCAGCAAGAAGTTCTACATCATACTTGTACGGTGTAAATTTAGGGATATATATGGTGATCTCATATGTGATTATTTAGATTTCATTCTAACCCTAGGAACACAAGATTTCTGCAAACCTCGTTCCTTCATCACTCATTGTGTCTCTCTTTAACGATGATCTATAGGTAGCTTTCTTTTTAATCATTTGCCTCTTATGCGCACAGCTCTGAATAAATGTCAAGGATCTCCTCAACTCGGAAGCATTGCAGAACTGATAACAGCGGGGTCCCTGCAAAGCCCAGAGAAACAGGTTTCACCTGGGCCACTGCGCCCGAAGCTTTCGCATTCTCCAAACAGCAGGCAACCGGGGCTTTTCCAAGGGGAAGGAAGGGATCAGGGAAGTGGCCTGTTTGTCTGTAGGTATGTTCACATAAACCCCAAGCCCTGGAGAAGCTGCGCGGCCACGGACTCTTCCTCGCTGCTCCCCCGCCCCCGCCAGTGGATGGGGGGGCAAGAAAACGCCTCAAAAGCGGGAGGGAAAAGGGTCGGGAAGGCAGAGTGGAAGAGAGGTGTTGGCCCCCAAAGCCTCTGCAGGTAGATCAGACAAGTGGGCCGGGCGCTAGCTCCCGCGCACCCCACCCCGCCGCACCCCTCCGCGGCCCGGGCCTGGCCTTCCCGAACCCGCCGCTCCGCAGGTTCCCCGGGAGGCAAGCCGCGGGACCGGGAGCTGAAGTTACCTTGAAGCTCCTGGGGAAGAATCAAAGATGATCTGTGGCTGCGCGGGGCGGGCGGCAGGCTAGGGGCCGCGGCGGGGGCGGGCGGCGGCCCGGGACGCACAGGGGGAGGTCCGGGCAGCGGCGGAGAGCCCCGGGCTACGGCAGTCCGGGGCGACGTCCCTCCGGTTCCGCGGTGGCGGCGGTGCTTCTAGGCCTCTCGGCTGGCCCCAACCCTCAGCGCTCCGGCAGTGGCAGCGGCGGCCTCACGAACCTCCCCCGCGGGCCCGTCCCATCAAATCGGCACCGACCCGGTTGCGGCTCGGCCGGCGGCTCTTCGTTCACATTCCCGGCGGGCGGCGCCTCTGCTCGTTGCACCGGACCCGGCGGCGGCGGCGGCGGCGACGCGGGGAGGGGGAGGAGGGAGGAAGCCTGGATCTGCAGCGGCAGCGAGCGCGGGAGTCGGGAGGAGGAGCTGGAGCCGCCGGAGCCGCCGCTGCCAGAGCCGCCGTTCGCTACCCGCGCAAGGTCCCCGTCAATGCCCCTTTCTCTCTCCTATTGTCAATATCACCGGGCGGCTGAGTCCATGGCACACACGCAACCGAACCTCCTGGCTGGCAGAGCCCGCCTCCGACGCCCGCCCACTGGAGACTTCAAACGGGAAGCGAGACTTCATTGGTCCTCGAGCGCCTTCACTCTCCGGCTAGCAGGTTCGGCTGAGACCCGTTCGGGGATTGGCGGCGCGGGGAGGGGCGGAGAAACAGGAGGGGTGTGGAGAGACGAGGCCAACGATTGGGCGAGGCGCCGGGGACCCGGATGCAGCCGCGAGCTCGGGCGGCCAGGCCGCCACTTCCGCCAGGGCGTCTGAAGTGGGGAACTGCTGGGCCTGAGAAGATCGCGGCGGGCGCGTCCGAAGCTGGAGCTTCAGCACGGCGGGACCCTGTGGACGGCGAGCGTCTTCACTGGGGATTCCGAGGGCCACAGGGCGGCAGCCCCGGTGCCTCACGGTTCAGCCCGCAGAGCCCCGCTCAGCACGGACCCAGCGCTCCCCGGTGCCACTCGTGTCGTCGCGGCCCTGGAAGCCGGCCGAAAAGCCCCCAGTGGCCTCCGCTCAGCGGGTGGGAGGCCTGGCCACGGTTTGGGCTCTCACCTGGTCTCGTAACCCCCCAAAAGTCAGTTCTGATTATCAGCCTCTTGCCCCTCCGATCTCGGTAGAGACCAGCGCTCCGGTCACTTCTGCAGATGGGAACGCTGTCACCACACTGCAGCCTCGCATTCAGATTGCCCGCATTCGCTGTGTCTGGGCTCTGAAATACCCAGCCCCCAATTTGACAGATTTTAATTGACAGTTTGAGTCTGAGTTTATAGAGATGACTTACCTCTATCTAGAACGAGTACTAAAATACTTACATATGTGGTTTTGCATCTTTGGTGAGCCTTAGGCCAAATGATACATTTCCAGAGAATATTCTTAGACTGTCAGTCAATTTGAATGCAAACTGCATACATTTGTTATGGAAAAGAAAAATCCTTAATAACTAATTGCAAGCATCAAACTACCAGTTGCTCAAAATTGGAAAACTGGAAGGGGACATACAAAAGAAATAATACTCATCCATCAACCCGTGCTAATCACTATCATTTTGTTGTACTATTAGTAGTTTTTATTATTTCATATTATGTATATCATTACATATTCTCTTTGAAACTAGAATGCTTCATCCTGTAGCCTACTTTTCCCTCTCAGTATCATGTCACGTGTTCTGTACAGTTAGGGAATATACATATATAAAGCTCTATCATAAGCACAAGTGATAACAATGCATTCGAGCTTCTTGGTTATGTCGTCTGTTGCAAATTTCTATCCACTTGGGTAGAAAAATAATTCTGTGCTATGAAAGCGAATGTTACTGCCCTGAACTGAAATGGGAAACACAGAAAGATGGCTTAAATGAAAGCAGGCTCCCCCTATTGACTCCGGACAATTAGCTGCTGACTGGCTGAGTATCCATTTTTACTCTAGTAAAGTTCATTACCCTAGGCTGCATAATTGTATAGAATTCATGTCTACTTCCTGCCTTCAAGTAACTTATATTCTCATACCTCAGTCTTCAGAAATGTTTAATATCCTAGCCAAGCAGAGCCTGTTTCCGCAATGTCTGATTGGTAAATGCAAAATTAAAACGAAGAAAGATTTTGAAGCCAACTCAATTTCCCTTGGCAACAGTTGAACCGTTAAAAAGTAGTGCACGTTTGAAATGCTCACAGCTGTTGCTTAGAACATTTCACATTTTGTAGAGTGAGGATTTTGCTTGCAAATTATGGATGTCTATAAAGACAATTCATTTCAAAGACATTTCATTTTCTATAAAATAGCTGAGCAACTGAAATGAGCAGGTCTTTTTAATGTGGAAGCATCCTTGCTTATATGAGGTTTGTTCCCTGGACCAATAATTTCATAAGGAGATCTCTAGATCCCAGGGGAAGTGGAGTGTACTCCAAGGATAGTGCTAGGCAATCCACTTGCAATGCAGAAGAAAAAAATAACAAGGGCATCTATGCTTAAATTTAAAAAGCATTAAGCTCAATATTTTATATACAGAATGAATGGTCCTGCACTCAGTCCATGGAATAGCCCATTGGCCTAGAGCAGCATAGATGTCCCCTGGGAAAAGTAGGCAGTGCCCATCCCCAGAGGATAGCTCAAAGGGTCTCTTTTACCTGTTGTGACATCCCGTGTTTGCTGGATTCTATGAGTGTATTGTCTAGGCTTAATTAAACTAAACCCACAAAGCAGACAAATGGCCTTAAAAGAGGCTCACAAAGGAACCACAGAACAAGCAAATACTAGGACTGAGACTATAATAAAATGTTTGACAGCCCTCCTTCAGAGTTAAAATGACCATCTAATAAGTCCAACCGTATTTTAACTTAAATAGCAAAATTGTTAAAAACTATTAAAAACTATTTGTAATGTACATTTATATCCACCATCACCAACAGTGAACTATGTCCTATGTGCAAGTGTTATGACTGAGTCATAAGATAAATAAGGTAATATGTGCCTATTTTATGAGCAAATAAACATATTTAGAATATGTGCTCCCAAAAATATGCCAATAGTAGTACATTAACAAATTTTGATACTACTCTTCTAGCTATGAAAAGGGAAACATGATAGCCATGGGGAGGTCATTATCAAGTGACAAAATTCAGTTCATTTTTTTTACCACATGTAAGCTTTCACTATCCAGATCTCAAAGCTGAGTTTATCAGGAATCTGTTGGCAGGTTGACCAGGTGATTAGAAGATACAGGGTATCAAGTGGTAGCTAACTAATCAGCTACAGAAATGCTAAGACAAACTGAAGCATCATCGAGCTGATTATCTATTAGACATGGTCTTCAGAGGTAAAGTAATCTAATGCACTGGGGGCGGGAGGCAGGAGTCCATGAAGCTGGCTATGGGCTGAGGTGAGAAGCCTGGGACAGCTGTGGCAACAGCTGTTTTCTTAGGACAAGAGATGGGAATAATCCATACTGCTATGGTGCCTGAGGAACTGATGTCGTATTTCTTTGAGCTGCATTTACCCACTGGGAAACACCCTGTTCAGTGACATTTCCTTGAGTCATAATTTTATTACTGCTGTTACATTTTCAGATGTACTTCAAAGGCTGTAGCTCTTTTACAGCTTTCTGTGTGGCTAAGGTGACTAATTATGGCTTAAGGTTTAAATGGTTATGTGCTCTAGTTGTCTGCTTAGCAGCCTGAGCTGTAATCTAAACCGATAGAAGTGACTATCTGAGGACCTTTGCACTGTCTTATTTTGAATGTCCATGATGGATCCGGGAAGGGACAGAGGCTTTATCACTAATGGGGAAGAGGGGGAGGGAAGAGCTGACTCAGTCCATAAAGTGCCTGCTCTGAAAGTATAAGACCTCAGTTCAAAACCTCAACACCCACATTAAAAAAAATTAATAATCTATGTGTGATCAATGGCATCTGCAACCCTAGCACAAGAAGGGCAGGTAGGTGGGCTCTCAGACTTCACTGGCCAGGTGGTGTGGCCAACGGGGGAGCACAGGGTCCAGTGTGAGACCTTGTCTCCAAAAGAAATCAAGAAAAGAAAGATTCAGCCTAGCGTTGGTGGGGCACGCCTTTAATCCCAGCACTCGGGAGCAGAGGCAGTGGGATCTCTGTGAGTTGGAGGCCAGGCTGGTCTAGAGAGTGAGTTCCAGGACAGCCTCCAACGCCACAGAGAAACCCTGTCTCGAAACCACACACCCCCCAAAAGAAAGAAAAGAAAGAAAGCTTCAAGTATACTTTATTTCACAGAGAATAAACCACAAAATAATGTACCAAGAAATACTTTGACTTGTGAAATTGTCAGTTTGCACAACTAAATGATACTGAAGTTATCCCTAATTATAAGTGTAATGAGGATGTAGGCGCTGGGGCCAGAGGCCACCCAGCTCTGCCCTGGTCTTGGTTTCCTCACAGATAAATAAGCAGAGACTCAGCCTAACTCAGGGCTTTGTGTAAAGACATAAATGAAGTTCTGTATTTACTACAGTGCCTGGCATGTTAACTGTTTAACAATTAACTATTACCAAAATCATCCTTTTCCTTTTAAGACTTTATTCATCTAGAAACTTAAGTTCCCCGCCCCGCACTGACCTTCATGACTTTATTCTGGCATACCTCCTGTGGCAGGAAGAAGACCAGGAGCCGGGAAAGCAAAGGCATGCACTTCCACGCTAAGTGATAGAACGTGTGTGGGAGCATTCATTAGCAACAGCAGGGTTGCGTTTTACAATATCCATATGTTTCTGAAAGTTAAAAAAAAAAAGAATAGCTTAAAAAAAAGATCAGTTGATCTCTATCTTCATTTCTAGGAGGTTCAAACTATTTTTGCTCTCAGTTTACCTGTTAGGGGCTGGGCATGGTGGCATATACCTATAATTCCAGCACTTGGGAGACTGAGGTCGGGAGGGGGGGGATGGTAAGTACAGGCCAGCTTGTGTTGCAGAGAGTCTGAAGCCAGCCTGAGATGTTGTGTGACCTTTTCCAGGGAAAAGTGAACAAATTTACCCCAGGCGGGGCACCAGGACAGGTCAAAGAAGTGACTCCAGGGGTGGGAGAGTCAATTCTCTTCAAGGGTGTGGCCCCTGGTAGGTCAAGCATGTTTCCTCACTGATCTCACTGGTCGTCCCCCACACCCATGAGGATGGGAGCAGCATAAGACTTGTGGTGTTATACACAAAATTTTAAAGGGGACATGAAAATGGGGGTGAAGGATAGAGGGTGTAAAGTAAATCTAGAGGAGTCACAGGAGAGTGAGAGTGAATATGACCAAAATTCACATATGCATGTATGAAATTCTCAAAGAAGTAATCACAAGATTGTATTTTTAAAAATTGTCCTGCAGTACAAATCGGGGTCCATCTCAAAAAATGTCAAGCTAGCATCAGGACCCTTGTTAATCAGTGATTAACCATGTAACGTCTGCATTTGTCCACTTACACTCCTTGAGATGTTTGCACCATTATGGATTGGGAGGGGTACATGGGGCTTCACCACTCCTGGTGATTTATATACAAAGTTAATGGTTGGTAGAGGAAGGGAGAGACATTTTCTGTGGTGGTATAGGCTCTGGTAAGGTGGCCAGGGTCCTGCAAACAACACTAATGAAATTCACTGGGCCACCATAAGAAGAAGAAGGAAAACAACAAGACGGGAAGTTAGAAGAGGCTCTCACTGAGGAAAGAAACAGGAGGAAAAAGGAGGACAAGGATGGGGATATATGTGAATAGGCTCCAAATGCATTATGTACATGTGTTAAAGGGTCATAATGAAATCCTTTATGTGTAATTAATATTTTTAGAAAGAAATGAATCCTCTCCTTTCCTAGGACCTGACATCACGGGCCACATTCACACTGTGAAGAAGGCTGTCCAGATCGGAAAGTACTGCCTGCACCTGGGTAATGACTTCCACCCCAACGAGCTTGTATGCAAGGAGATCACCGTTATCTCTAGGAAGAAACTTTGCTAGCAGGCTATGGCACCCATTTGATGAAGCAGATCAGACAGGTATCTCTGCTCAGTTCCAGGAGGAGGGAGAGGAGGGATAATTATATTCCTGAAGTTTCCACCCTAGATCAGAAGACCACTGGGGTAGTCCCTTTAGTACTCTGGCAATCTCTCCAACCTGCAGGTCACTCAGCCTACAGTTGAGATGAGTTTCAAAACATGTAGAGATGTTTGAATCCGTCCTGTAGTATTTTCAACAAACCTGGGGACAATTTTAAGATATTATATTAAATGTACATTTGAATTGTTTCCCACCCAAGTCTAGTGAAACTGAGTTTATTAGGATTACTTACAGGATTACAGGTGAAGGATTGTTCATAAGAACTTGAACTTGGTTGCCTCAAAAGCAGCTGCAACATCAAAGCACCCCACCCCAGTTTAGGACTCAATACACAACAGCATCGGTGGAGCTACCTGCACAATTTGTAGATTGCACAGACAACCAGAAACTCTGCTCTCCCCATCAACTGTCTATCAGCTATAACCTTGGGGAGGGGCATTGTGAGTCTTGTAACCTTCAGGAGTCTCCTGAGCCTAATGAATTTGGTTTACTTTCTAGGCTTTAAGTGTTTTGTTTACTTTCTGATACTGACCAACCTTTCTCTGCCCTCCATAAGGGAACCTTCAACCTAAAGGCAACAGCCACATGACACTGAACTACACAGAGAGATTGTGTCCCAGAAAAAGAACCAAGGCTCTGTTTTCTAGGCGTATCCTGACCTTTAGTGATAGTCTAGCCAACCTTAGTGTGATGGGTATCTGCTTCCCTCCCTCTCCTTTCAATCCCTAGGAGGACCACACCCTCCCCTGCTTCATGTGATCCTGGAGGAATTGTTGACCCTGATGATTCCCTCTTCATTCCCTCTGGGGAAGTGGGTATATGACTCAGAGGTCAATTGCATCTTCTCCAACATTTTAACTGTTGGGATCATAAAGCATAGAAGTGACTAAAGTTGGAACTACCTTACAGCTGGGTCTTGTAAGAAGCCAGCCATTTGGAATAAACTTGACAAAAGTGTTTCAACTTTAGAACTGCTGGATCCAGTAGTGGCTGAAGCTCATGTGTTTCATGGTCACAAACCAGTCAATTCCCTTGCTTATTAAATCACCTTAGAGTTAGATTTCTGTGGGTTACTCCCCCAAAGAATTCAGACTAGTGACAAAAGCAAGGCTCTCCTTACTTTTAAGCCTTAATTATAAAGGGTTTTTTTTGTTGTTGTTGTTGTTGTTTTGGTTTTTTTTTTTTTTGTTTTTTCCAGACAGGGTTTCTCTGTAATGCTTTGGAGGCTGTCGGAACTAGCTGTTGTACTCCAGGCTGGCTTCAAACTCACAGAGATCCCCTGCCTCTGCCTCCTGAGGGCTGCGATTAAAGGCATGCACCACCAATGCCTGGCTAATTGTAAGGTTTCCTACACATTGAAATAAGTGAAATATTTAGATGAAATCTAATCTTATACATGAGGGAATCAGTTAAAGTGACCCTGCTAGGAATTCTTCTCTAGTCTAATTTATCAAGCTTAATTGACTCATGTAATTAAATTTTCAAGTTTAGACTCAAAGCAGATATCTTAAGAATTATGGGCTTGGGGCTGTACAGTTGACTCAGCAATAAAGAGTAATTGCCGGTCTTGCAAAAGACCCAGGTTTGATTCCTGGTACCCATGTTGTGGCTCACAACCACCTCTCTCCAGTTTCTTGAGCATCTAATAATACCTTCTTTTGGTTTCTGTGGGTATGAAACACAAAACTAGTGACAGACATGCATACATACACATAATTCATACATATAAAATATTTTGTAAAATAAATCTACAAAAACAATGTATGTAATTTTGTTTTCTGGGACAGAGTCTCGTTATGTATTAATATGTAGACCAGGCTAGCCTCGAACTCAGAGATCTGCTTGCCTCTGACTCCCAAGTAACTGAACTAAAGGCATGTGCTACTATGCCTGGCTCATGCATATAATCTCATATGATACTAGTAATAGTAATAATAACAGCAAACATGCATAGCTATTTAGTGTACTTTCATAGGTAGCACTTAATGGTACATTCTTTGGCAATTTATCTTTTAAAAACTTAGACTCAAGAAGGTTTCCCAATGCCAGACAGCTATTAACCAATTGAATCATAATTGGAATGCAGTTCTTCCAAAGGCTAAGCCTCTTCACACTGTATCTATTTGCAGATGACACATCCAAGTAATTGAAGAGAAAGATAGTACTGTTTTCATCATTAAAGACATAGAGGTCAAATCCTATATGAGAATCATTGCAGAAAGAAAGTAGAAACAATAGATCACACCTCCCATCAATGTCAACATGAACTCCCTCATATTTTTTGAACACTATGAGCTAGTGACCTCAGCAGACAATTTACAGTTTGGACATAATATGTTGTCTAATCCTCAAAATAACCCATTTGTGTGAGCACTGGTACCCTGCCCTACAGATGCAGAAACCAAGAGACAGAAAACATGTTTCACTTTCCAAGGTCATCTACCCACTTAATGCTTGGGTAGGAGAGAGACACTAAAATTCCCATTTTGTTGCTTCTCCCTCCCAAGGATCTACACAGTCTGAGCATGGTGTAGAACATACAGAACCCATGATTCCCTGGGCCATGTGGTGAATGCCTTTATTCCCAACACTTGGGAGGCAGAGGCAGGAGGATGATTTCAAGACCAGCCTGGTCTACAGAATAAATTCCCGGACAGCCAGGGTTACACAGAGAAACCCTGTCTCAAAAAACTGAAAAAAAAAATCCAACAAACAAAACACAGAAACCATGCTGCTCTTGAAGCTCCTTTCTCTTGACACTCCTTTTTTTGGTGAGGACTCCTGGCTGGTAGGGTAAGATCACAGCAAGGATCCAACCAACCTCCTGCTAATAACAGAAGAAGACTTTCTGGAGAAATAGGATTTAAAGAGCTTGGGAAAGAAAGGAAGAAGCTGTAGTCACAGTATCTGAAAACATTCTTTTTGATGATATTTCTAAGTGAAGAAAGTATATATTCTCAGATTTGAAAGGTTGCTGACCCATTTAACAAATCCACTGGCAAAAAGATCAAAGTATTTATATTAAAAAAAATTCTAAAAACAAGCACTGGTAGCTGGAGGTTGGCTCAGTATTGAAGGACTTGCAGTAAGATCTGAGTTCAATCCCCAGAAGTCAGGGAAGGACTGACGCTGACTTACACACACACACACACACACACACACACACACACACACACACACACACACACACACGCACGCACACACGCACGCGCACTGTTGGTTCTTTTTGTTTTTGTTGTTTTTCACTCTTTACTTTTTGGGGGCCCGACATCCAGCTGCCAAATATATCACACACGGAATCTTTTTCTTACTTATAAATGTCCAGCCTTAACTTGGCTTGTTTCTTACCAGCTTCCCATCTACCTTTTGCCTTTGGGCTTTTACCGTTCTCTATTTCTGCAGTGTCTCCAACTAAGAGAGCAGTCAGAGCCGGGCGGTGATAGCACACATCTTTAATCCCAGCACTCGGGAAGCAGAGGCAAGGGGATCTCTGTGAGTTCAAGGCCAGCCTGGTTTAAAGATCCTGTTCTAGGACAGGCTCCAAAAGCGAGAGAGAGAGAGAGAGAGAGAGAGGGAGGGAGGGAGGGAGGGAGGGAGGGAGGGAGGGAGGGAGGGAGAGAGAGAGAGAGAGAGAGAGAGAGAGAGAGAGAGAGAGAGAGAGAGAGAGAGCCAGAACTTAACACTGGAATCTGCTGGCACCCACACTTGATTCAATGGGTATTGGAGTTGTTTTGTACAAATCCCACACTTGATTCAATGGGTATTGGAGTTGTATTGTACAAATGGAATGTTGGGGGCCTTTCTGGTATTCTAGAGTATGTTGTAGGGGAAAAAAAGAAAAACCAACAGCCCTGACATGCACCCAATTGTTGTCTACAACATCTTTATTTCCTCAAATTAAATTTGTAGTAGATTAAGATATGTTCTGCCATATTACCAGTCTCATTACCTACTCTCTCATTCTATCTAAGTCTATGGACCAAAAATATGAAATTACTTACAACTTTTTAAATTACGCAAGTAGAATAATTGAAATATCTTCTATATATTTATTAGTCTTTTGTATTTTTGTCTGCAAATTATTGGTGCTTTTTGCTTATTTTTTTCTGGTTACACTTTGGTACAGTTGTGATTTATGTATATGAATTTTATATATTAATTTCACATAGAAGAATATACTATATTTCCTTTGGGACTGTTTTCATTTTGAAGTATAAATTCTCAGAAGTCTTTCTTTTAAAATTCATCCTCCTGGAAATCTTTCATACAAAAATACTTTTAAGGTTCACCAGGGACATTCATTGTAGAATTTTAATGACAAATGGAAACAATTTAAGTATGTATTAGTTGAAGGATAGTTAAATTATAGTTCAGTCATACTGTGGGAGATAGTGCAGCCATTAAATATAAGGGCACTATCTGTCATACAGAGAAATGTCTATGATATAAAGTGGAAAAAGGCAACTCAGAATAATGGGTAAAGTGGTTTCTTATTTGTATTAGTATGTATGAAGTAAATAAAGACATTCATAAAATAAGCCTAGACACTTAGAGGAAACACAATCCCTGTAAATACGTAGGAAGGTCTCTGGGTGGATGTCCATGGAGCTGCTACTGGATAATAGCTTTGGATGTGGGTTGGAGAGGTTGGGGCAAAAATTAGATTATATACTTAAATATTGCTTTCTTTTTATAAGGGTCATTACTTTTATATTTATTTTACAAAACATCTTAGAGTTACAGAAAGCCACAAACAAAAGTCATGTACCCACCACATAGCTGTAGAAATAAAGTGGGGCAAACATAGATGACATCTCCAGTGTGACCTTTGATCATATGCCCTCTGTGTTACCTTCAATCATACTCCCTCTTTGTCAAAATCTGGATCTGGTTCTTTGTTATTCCTATAGTGTCACAATTTTACTAAATATACAACATGGAGCTTTTACATTAGCTTCTGAAGTTTGGTTTTCAGTCAACATTGTTTGCATCTGTTTGTTTTGTTTTAGGGCACCAGGTCCTCTGGAACTGGAATTATAGACAGACCATCGTGAGCTGCCACGTGTGTGCTGGAAATTGGGCGTGGTTTCTCCCTAAGAACAGCAAGTGCTCTTAACCTCTAAGTGGTCTCTCAAGTCCCCTGCACTGTGTTTTTAATGTAAGCATACTAACAGAAACACTAGGTCATTCCTCTTGCTGCTACTTAGTATCTGGTTTGTGAAGGTTCTGCAGTTTAATTGTTTCACTGACTTGGATATTTCCAGAATGCTAAACTTTTGAACAGTGATGCTATCAACATTCCTGTGCTCATCTCTTGTGTCCTGAACTTTCTCTAGCGTATATTTCTAAAAGAAAAAGTAGTCAAGTTGCTTTCCTAAATGATTACACCAATTCGTAATTCCACCAATGATACATAAGATTCTTGGTTTGTTTTGCTTTTGTTGATGTTGTTTGGTTTTTGATACAGGTTGCTCTGTGTAGCCCTGACTGTCCTGGAACTCATTCTGTAGATCAGCCTGACCTTGAACTCACAGAGATTCACCTGCCTCTGCCTCCTGAGTGCTAGGATTATAGATTATAGTGGTGTGTGCCACCACTGACCAGCTACATGAGATTCTTTTTTTAGGGTTTATTTGTTTTTATTTATGTAACAAGTATGTGCCTGCATCGGTTTATGTGTATCACATGCATGCAGGTGAGCATGGAGGCCAGAAGAATATGGTAGGTCCCCTGTAACTGGGGTTACAAATTATTGGAAGCCATCAGATGTGGGTGCTGGTGACAGAAATCAAATCATCTATAAAAGCAGTACTTGATCTTAACCACTGAGCCTTCTCTCCAGCCCTGATACATGAAATTCTATTGCTCTAAAAAAATGTTTCCACACATAGAAAGTAGACATTATTTTTCAATTTTTATTTTATTGTTTTTTCATTAAATTCTAATATGCATTAAGTTAATTTTGGAACTCAGTGAGTGCTAAGAACCTAAAATATTTTATAAATAATCAGTTTCACACTACCATTCATTTGTTGATGAAAGTTTTCCGGACCAGCAGGATCCCACCTCCCTGGAGTCCCAAATAAACACACGAATGCTATATTAGTTATAAAACTGTTGGTTGGTAGCTTGTGGTTCTTATTGGCTAGCTCTGTCTTTGTTTTTGTTTTTTTGTTTGTTTGTTTGAGACAGGGTTTCTTTGTATTGTTTTGGAGGTTGTCCTGGAACTCACTCTGTAGACCAGGCTGGCCTCGAACTCACAGAGATCTGCCTGCCTCTGCCTCCCGAGTGCTGGGATTAAAGGTGTGCGCCACCAACGCCCGGCTGGCTAGCCCTGTCTTAATTATTAACCCATTTCTACTAATCTAAGTATTTCCACGTGGTCTTATCTTACTGGAGAAGGGTCCAGTGCGTCCTTCTTTCCCGGTCTCACATGGCATCTGCTGTCTGTATACACTTCCCAGAATTCTCCTCATCTCTTAGTTCTGCCTATCTCCCTGCCTCTGTTGGCCACAGTGTTTTATTCATCAACCGATTAAGAGGAACATATACACAGAAGGACTTCCCCCATCATTCATTGACATAGTGAGTCCTTCACTGCATACTTTTCAATCCTCTCATTCTCACCTGATGACCCATCTAGCTGAATTCCAATGCTCCACTGAGATTTTACTGTAATCGTCTTAGGCCCACAAGCGATTTTGGCTTAAATGTACGTGTAACTAATGTCCTCACATTCTGAACTTCTCACTGTATGGAATCCCATAGCCTTGGCCTTCTGCCAGTGTCCACACTGCATTGTACTCAGGATCACCATGCAAAAAAACGGACCAGCGTCCTCCTCCTTGTACCCTAAGCTTTATTGATTTTTTTTCTCTATGAAACATTGGTTCCTGAGTGATGTTCCCTCCAGCCAAAACCCTTCCTCCCCACCACTCCCTGCTTCTTCTTCTTCTTCTTCTTCTTCTTCTATTCTTATTATTATTATTATTATTATTATTATTCAAACCGTTTTATTCTTTCAGAGGCTGGCTAGGGTCACAGCTACTCCAAGGTCCTCATCGGGAGTTATGTCACTGTCCTAGTTAGGGTTTCCATTGCTGCGATAAAATACCATAACCCAAAGCAACTTGGGGCCCGCCCGTGCCGTGCCAAGCGTACCAACAACAACATCACCACCAACAAAAAAACCCAGCGCACTGTCTTGCACTGCGGCTCGCTTTTCTCACACAGCTGTCTTCCATCTCGCTGATTCTTGGCTTGGGTTTACTTAAGTAAGGAAAGAGGGGTGACGTAAAGAGGATCAGAAAAGCAAGAGCTAGTCAGAGTGGCAGCCACACCAGGCTCACCACACTCGGTATCTGTAGTGCTCAAGTGGAGAAAGCGGGAGACAAATGAACAAAGAACTGATGCTGGGGTCTCAATGGCTTAAGAGCCCAGTGCAGGAGCTGGAGATATGGCCCAGGGGTTAGGACTTCCGTTACTCTTACAGAGGGCCTGGGTTCGATTCCCAGAACCCACTCACAACCATTTGTAATTTCAGTTCCAGAGGATCCAATGCCTACTTTGGTCTCCACGGGTACCAGGTGCACATATGGTGCACACACTTATGGGTAAGCAAAACACTTATTCATGCACATTAATAAATAAGCAAATGAATACAATTTTATAACAAGCCCAGTGCAGTCAGACACACAGCAGCAAAGTCTGGTAAGGGAAGACGCGTGCTTCTCACCAGTAGTGTCCACTCAAAGGGAACTTCTCCATTGTCTCCAGACTCACACACACATCACTTCGGGTAACCTTTGGACAGCTCCACTGCAGATGGCATGATCTCTATGGTGCCAGTTAAGACAAAAGGCTTAGAGGTTAAACACAGATCACACAGCTAGAAGTTGAGTGTCAAACTGGCAGCTTGACCTTCTAGTAGACCTGGTTCACTGCTCTTTCTAGAATAAGCAGTCCTGTTTCCATGTTTAGTTTAGTTTTCTGAAACAGGCTTAATGCATGCAAGGCTGATGTTACACTGTGACTATGGGGCCAAAGACGGCCTTAAACTTCTGGTCTCCCCCTTTTGAGAGCTATGATTACAGGTGTCTACCACCATGACCAATCTGTCCATGCTGGGGTCAAACCCAGGTCTTTGTGTATGCTAGGCAAGCACTGTACCAGCTGAGCCATGCCTTCAGCCCTATGGCATAATCTCACATCTTTATTTTTACAGTAGAAAAAAAATCCACATAGAGCTATGAGCATGACTCAGTGATAGAACATTGAACTTAGTATGCACAAAGTCCTGGGTTCAGGCCCAGAACTGTAAATAAATAAGATTTTTAAATGCATATAAAATTGACTGACATAACCTTCTTTTCTCCTCCTCCTCCTCCTCTTCTTCTTCTTTTGATTTGGTTTTTCTTTTTATTTTTTTTCTTTTTATTTTTTGGTTTTTCGAGACTGGGTTTCTCTGTGGCTTTGGAGGCTGTCCTGGAACTCACAGAGATCCGCCTGCCTCTGCCTCCTGAGTGCTGGGATTAAAGGCATGCGCCACCAACGCCCGGCTTGATTTGATTTTTCAAGGTAGGGTTTCTCTGCTGTCCTGGAACTCACTCTGTAGACCAGGTTGGCCTCAAACTCACAGAGATCTGGGGGCCTTTGGGGGAAGAGAGAGGGGGGAGAGAAGGGAAGGGAAGTGACAGTAAGGATGTAAAATAAATGAGTAAATTTAATGATAATAAATAAAAATATAGAAAAAGCCTCACAGGAATCTGCCATCTGCCTCTGCCTCCCAAGTGCTAGGATTAAAGACGTGTGCCACCACACCCAGCTAACCTTTTCCTTTTCAACAGCTCCCAACCTGGCCTTCACTTTGCTACATAGCTGCAGTTGGTCTTAAACTTCTGACCTTTCTGTATCTATCTCCTAAATATAGGACCCTTTACCACTTTTAAGTTAATATTGATTACCATGTGAGTCACATTGTGAAATCATCTTCGTCTTACAAACCTGAACCTCCATACCATGCAATATGACTCCCCTACCTGCCCTGGCCCCACCCTGAAAATCAATGCTCTACTTTGTTTCCATAGTTTTGACTATGAGTGGAACCACACAATAGTGTCTCCTTGTAAGTGGTTGTTTTCATTTAGTATGTCTCAAGTTTCGTTCATATTGTATCAGAAAACAGGATTTCCTCTTTGTGTTTATTTTGTTTTGGATGCAGAATCTCAGTACATAGCCCAGACTAGTCTCAACTCCAGGGTTCAAACAATTCCTCTGCTTTAGTTTCTCAAGTAGCTGGGTTACTTGTATGCTTCAATTTCCTTCTTTTTGGATGCTGAATAATATATGTTTATGTATATTATAAACAAATATTATATTATAAACAAACATATACATAGACATACATGCATATATACATACATATTTATCATTTGGTTTCTTCATTTATCTGTCCTTGGACAATTGGGTCATGTCCCCCTCTTAGCAGTTAGAAATAACCCTGCCATAAGCAGAGGTGTGTAAGTATGTCCTTAAGATCTCACTTTCAAATCTTTTAGATAAATGCTTAGAAGTGGGATTGTTAGATCATATGGTGATTCTATTTTTGGCTTCTGGTGAAATTATGTTCACTTTTAAACAAATAGCCCCATCCCCATGGACTCTCCTGCAATATGTTAACAGGCCGCATGTTGCCTTCCCTCTAATTAAATTGAAAATAGCAGTCATGCTCATATATAACCATTAAAATATGTTTAAACTTCTTACTTAACATGCATCAATTACACTGTTGGCAGCTGCAGACGCTTCTCCCATTTCCTCCCAGTCTCAGTTAACAAGCTGTTCTTCACATTTAACTACCCCTTCTCTTGCTAATCAGGGTCATGGGAGCACTAGTCAGAGGCTAGAAGGACATATCCCAATGAAAGAGATGGTGACCCTCGTATAATAGGCACTCAATAAGTGGCTGAGTGTATGAATACAAAACCATGCTGCTGAGTGTAGTTTGGATGGTTGTAGCTCTTGTTCCATCAAGCAGGAAGTAGCACAGATGGTATTGAATGGCACGAGTATTGCCAAAATGATGACACCATGCCTCAGACACATTCAAGCTAAAGCTTTGGTGCTGTGATGTCATCACACCAACCAGGAAGAACATTAAAGCTTGGGAACAGAGAATTTGAATGATAAAGTGCTGTCAGGCTGATAAGTTTATATCCTGGGAAAGAAAAGTCAAGAGAGTCTGCTATAGGGGCTGGACAGCATTTCCCTTTTCTCCAGCAATGTGGATCCTCAGGACATCACTGGAAGCAAAGCCATTATCACAACAAATGGAAGAGTCCTCCCTAACCAGGTTGGTGCATGCAGGCTGGCTGGAGCCTTCTGGATGGCATGGGGATGTGGAGAAAGACAGGGTTCCACACACCTAGACAGTCTCTTAGGAAAACTGAGGTCTCCTACTGTCCCTACAGCTTTGGACCTGATGAACAATCTTA